ATCTACCTGCGATTTGGCATTCCAATAAGAAGGCTTGGATGACTGACCCTTTTCCAAGACTGGTTCACTAACTATTTTTGCCCTGCTGTAGAAAGATATAATGCCAAGCGTAACATACCTAATAAAGCATTGCTCCTCATAGACAATGCACCAAGCCACCCAGTCAATTTAAATGATCTTTCTGATAATGTGAGAGTGGAGTACATCCCCAACAACACAACTTCCTTGCTCCAGCCAATGGATCAAGGTGTGATAGCTAACTTTAAGGGATATTATCTTAGGAAAACTTTTTGCAGCTCATAAAAGCAGTTGATAGGGAGGATAAACATACAATTAGGGACTTCTGGAAAAAGTTCAACATCCTGGATGCTGTGGATAATATAGCCGAGTCATGGGATGAAGTGAAAACCTCAGCTATGAATGGTTCATGGAAAAACATATGGCCAGAGTGCGTCCATGAATTTCAAGGTTTTTCACAAGCTGAAAGTCTACAGAAAGTTCAACAAGACATTGTGACACTAGCAAATAATATAGGCTTTGAAGAAGTCGTGGAAAATGATGTGGTTGAGTTGCTAGAGTCCCATAGAGAAGATTTGACTAATGAAGATCTGATGATGCTGGAACAAGAGCGAGCTGCAGGACAAGAAGAGGATATAGAATCTCCATCCACCCCACTTCAGTTAACAACAAAGGATATGTCTAAAGCATTTGCACTAATAGAGGAAGGGGTCTGCAAATCTTAGCTGATAACGACCCCAACCGTGAAAGGAACATCAAGATTGCAAGAGCAGTTAACAATGCTCTCAGTTCCTACACTGAGCTGTACAAGCAGAAGGTGCGCCGTAAACGTCAAACAACTTTGGATGAGTTATTCAGAAAAAAGGTGAAAGCAGATGAAGAAGCAGATGATGATTTACAGGGCAGGGCAGAAGAGAGTAGTGCCCCTCCCTCTCCCTCCCAATAACTTCCTTTGCACCACCAATCCTCACGCAGCAATCAACATCTTTTGTGGTAAGTACAGTACAATATTTTTATTTATTCGAACTGTGATGGTGTTGTTTTCGGTGTTTAGTAAGTGATGGTGGTGTTTTCAATGTTTAGTAAGTGTTGGTGTTGTTTTCAGTGTTTAGTAAGTGACGGTGTTGTTTTCAGTGTTTAGTAAGTGACAGTGTTGTTTTCAATGTTTAGTAAGTGATGGTGTTGTTTTCAATGTTTAGTAAGTGATGGTGTTGTTTTCAGTGTTTAGTATGTGATGGTGTTGTTTTCAGTGTTAAGTAATTCAATTTCAATTGTTTATTCCTTGATAGAGGAAGCGGGAACCTAGTGCTGTCACTAGGTACCCCTGTACAATAACACCAGAAGTATCTGGCAAGTGTCACAAATATACTGTATATAAACAATATAAAGGTTCTGAGGAAGGAAGGATATTCCTTTAACACATCATCAATATTATTTACATAATATCTGGCCAGTATGGGGAGGATCATCGTGTCTCCATGAGGGGGTCGTGGAGTGGTGGTCCAGCAGGCGTCACGGAAGCGTTGTGTGTGGGGGACATCTTTGGAGGTAGTGGATAAGGGTACGGCTGTCGGGTCTTCTGCATAATCCACAAGAGCGTTGCTCAGGGGATGCGGGGATACCAATCTCCCAAGCCAAGTTATACCCAATAATGATACAGGCAGCAATCACGTCCCTTTTCCGCGACCCTTTCCCATAGACATACGAGAGGTCAGGAAGTTTACGGAGGACATCGTACCAGGTGGGTGGGGAGTCCAGGGGGATGGCTGCTTCCTGAGCTTCTCTCTGTTCGCGGCGAATTTGGGTCCTAAGCTGTAAAAGTGTTCGAGGAACAACGTAGTCAGGTGTGGCCTTGTTGCAGCCAGTCTTGGCAAGGCCATCTGCTGCCTCATTCCCCAAGATACTGACATGACTGGGTGTGTCACAGGACGGCCTGCATCCTGAAGTGTGGACGTTAACCCTCGTATTCGGAGGATGAGGCCCTTATTTTCCCATGATCCAAATGCGATCCCGTCGAGAGCAGACCTGGAATCGCAGCAGACAAGCAAGGGGCAGAAACCGTCTCCTTCCTCAGCGAGGGCAGCAAGGAGGGCTATTAGTTCAGCCTGAGTGGAGGATACCCCGTCAGAAACTCTGAGAGAAAGTTTGATAGGCTCAGGAGCCTCAGGATGGGAAATGTAGACACCAGGCCCGGCCCTACCTGTAGCGGGGTCAACAGAGCCATCAATGTAGAGGACGACCCTACCTGGGGACCAGTGGGTGATCCTGGAGAGGTGGTATTTGCAGAGAATAACAAGGTTCACGTGGGATTTCGGGAACGGTCCACCGAGGGCAATCACTTAGGGTTGAAAATCCAGCCAGGGAGAAGGAGACGTTGATGGTGTTGTTTTCAGTGTTTAGTAAGTGATGGTGTTGTTTTCAGTTTTTAATAAGTGATGGTGTTGTTTTCGGTACTTAGTAATTGATGGTGTTGTTTTCAGTTTTTAATAAGTGATGGTGTTGTTTTCGGTGCTTAGTAATTGATGGTGTTGTTTTCAGTTTTTAATAAGCGATGGTGTTGTTTTCGGTGCTTAGTAATTGATGGTGTTGTTTTCAGTTTTTAATAAGTGATGGTGTTGTTTTCGGTGCTTAGTAATTGATGGTGTTGTTTTCGGTGCTTAGTAATTGATGGTGTTGTTTTCAGTTTTTAATACGTGATGGTGTTGTTTTCGGTGTTTAGTAAGTGATGGTGTTGTTTTCGGTGTTTGGTAAGTGATGGTGTTGTTTTCAGTGTTCAGATAAGGAGGGCTCCATAAACTCTAAAGTGATTCTTATTCTTTACAAATTAGGAAAGGTTAGGTTTGGGTTTTAAAGGTTTGTTTGGTGTTATCTTTAGTATTTTACCCCACATTTTCCCTCTACCTGCTTATTTTGAACAACTAATATTCTTGGTAATTTTATCGGTTAAAATACTGTACTCGAAAAATATAAATATCCGATGGAAGCACTATGGAATAAATTAATACTATTTTTTTTCTTTTTCCTTAAACATGACTCAATAAATAAGTATGTGTTGGTAACTACTAAATATTAACCATATGAGGTTCTAGTAAATGTTGCCTCCTTTAAAATACTTACTATAATGATAAGAACATTACCCATTTTTCTTCTATGACATTTTCCTTGCAAACGACTTATGTATACTGGGTGGTCCAGGGTGGGTGGATCCCACCCAGTTAGGAGATTAAACTAGGTAATTTGTAAGGAAAATGTCAGAACAAAAGTGTCTTGGAATTGTCTAAATTATTGATTACAAAGATAAAATTCCCGAGATTCTAATTATGTTACGTCCTCTACAATAAATTTACCTTTTTTTATTCTCTCTATCCACCCGAAAATTAAGCACTTACACATGAAATGGTTATGGACAGTGCAGAGAGTATAAAACGCACCTCTAGAAAAACCAATCTCGTTGTTGCATCGAGGATAAAATTTTAGTGTCGGTCATCCCTGTATTTAGATATTCTACCTAACTTAACCTAAAGGGTAAATTGTCACTTGTTTTCACTATACAAAATCAAAGATTGAAACCATGTTTTTTCCAATAGTTTTTTATGTGTTTTGAACGAATTTGACCTTCATTTCTGGAGAAAATCAATAGTTTCTGAGATAAGCCGCTGCCCCCCCTCCCATCTCAGATTCTAGAGATTTGACATAAAAATTAAGGTATTAAGTGTTCAAAACACATAAAAAATCATCAGAAAAACAGTTTTGAATCTAACCCCACCTAACCTAACGAGCTCCACAGTCGCTCGATGTTCTGGGTGTGTACCGCCATGCATGAACGTACATAATAAAATGTTAAATACTGTATCTCACTTATACGTAATTTGCGCCACAAATGCCATTGAAGAAAAGTGTCCTAGAATTGTAAAAATTACCGATTGCAACTATAAAATTCACGAGATTCGTTTAGTGGCAACAGGTGAAAGGTAAATTTTCAGAAAAAATTGCAGATTACAGGATCCAAAGAATCTGATAAAAAAAAATCTGATGGTTTTTAATGCAATTGGTTCAAATCTGATATTCGTTTTTATCGGAAATCACTCATTTTGGATTTAGCCCCCCCCCCGTCCCTCCAACAATAATGGGGGGGGGGGGGGAAGTGTGGGAATTCAGGGTTCTAGGTGGGGGTTGAACCAAAACGAGTGATTTGTGGTCGAAGCGAATTCCAAAACTGTCCGAATCGCAACAAGAAAACATCAGAAGAACACATTACGCAATAGAAATTATGTTATTTACGAAAAAATAGTAGAAATAAGTTTTAACGATTGCATGTTCTGAATTCCCGGTACTCTGTGCTTGCTAACTTACACAATATAACAAAACTAAACCTTTTCTAACTCCCTAGCCAGGGACTCTGCCCCCGGACCCCAGACACTATGTAATAACCCAGAATCGCGTGGTCAGCCTCCACGAGTATATAACTAGCCCTTACAGTATTTCTTCCCTACCTATCAATTTGTAACGAAAGTGTAATATACGAAAATTATCACAGAAAAAATAGTTCTATCGATTGAGTGTAGTGAATTTCCGGAATTCTGTGGTTGCCGTTTAAAGCAATATTACCAATTTTCATATATTATGAAATGTTAAATATTTCGCTAATACGTAATTTGCGCCAGAAATGCCATTGGAGATGTGATTTAGAATTGTCAAAACTACTGGTTAAAAACTACAATATTCCCGAGATTAGTTTAGAGGTAACAAGTGAAATAACATCTAATGTAACCTAACCTAACCTTGCCACAAAACCCAGCAACTATTCTAACCTAAGTGGCCAGACCCCCTCCCCCATTCTGGCCGGGGTTAAATCCCTACGATTCCCCCAATGTTTTCCAAATATTTACCAACACGCACATATAACTGTCGATAGATATACTCACTACAATACATAAGACATATGGTAGTGAGGTAGGTACTGTGTCAGCAGATGTACTCACTAGCACGTATAAGACCTATGGTAGCAAGGAAGGTGCCTATGTTGGAGTACACAATCATTCTTGCCATCCTCTCCTCCTCCTGTGCCCTCCTCTTCTCCTCTGTGGAGTCTAGACGAGGTGCTCCCATGCGAAACATGGCTTCTGTTTAACTTGTTTAATTCAAGGGGTTATGAACAATTTAGTCAAAGGTTCAATCAGAGAACACTGGTTAGTTACCCTCCTCGTGTGTGATGTATCGTGTGTTGTGATTGTCACGTCGTCTGCAGTAGTAAGCAGTAAAGTACTGTATATAATTATGTAATGTATTAGTTTTAATATAAAAAACAACAACGAAATAATACAATTCCTCACTATAAACGTAACAGGATCATAGATTTGAGTTTGGCTATTTTATTTTATTATTTACTATATTGTAAATAAATGAGTCATCAGTCGTTCTGTTCGTGGATATTGACCAACACTGGTCATCCTGGTGTCCTTGTATAAACGCCTAATGGAAGAGATTCATCAGTTCATGGTGTTTTTCAAGGACTAAAAACAGTATTTATCCTTGGTATTTTTGTGTTCCTTATTATTTATTAAATAATATTTCAGAACTTACTCTTTAAATGTGATTGTATCCATATAAAGCTTAATTTTAAAGGCAAACCTTTCTCAAGAAACTTGCAAGCGGGGTTTCGTTATCTACGCGAGGCAAGACCTTAGAGCCAGCCAGGCGAGGGTACAGGGAGAGGATGTTTTTGAAGAGTCCAAGTGGTGTAAAATTAAACAAAGGGAGGGGACTTACTTATTGTCGGGTGTATCTACAGATCCCCAAACTGTGGCCCACTACATCATCCTAGAGTGCTAAGAGAGTTGTGCAACGAGCTTGCCGAGCCCCTGAATACCCTGTTTTGTAAATGCCGGGATGAACAAAAGGTCCCCAGTGAATGGAAAGTGTCTTATGTGAGTCCTATCTTCAAGAAGGGCGATCGTCACTCAATGAACAACTATAGACTGGTGAGCCTGACCAGCATAATATGCAAAGTACTTGAGAGTATTATCAGAGATGCCGCGATGGAACATCTACTAAGAAACAACCTTGTAAAGGATTGCCAACACGGTATTATGCCGGGGCGCTCCTGCTTAACACAATTGCTCAAGGTTTTGGATATTTGGACCCATATTCTGCAACGGGGTGGTAATATCGACAATATACACCTAGATTTTGCCAAGGCTTTCGACAGTGTACCCCACGTAAGGCTGAAAATCAAACTGGAAGGAAACGGAATTCGGGGAAATGTCCTAGCGTGGATAGAAGACTTTCTACATGACCGCAAACAGTGTGTGGTGATTAATGGCACGAAATCATCATCCGTACCTGTCACAAGCAGGGTACCACAGGGCAGTGTATTGTGTTTTATCCTCTTCGCCACTGATCGGCTCGTTAGCCGCTTGGGCGATCGGTCACGTCTCTGTTACGCACTGTCTTTTATCCTCTTCGCCACTGATCGGCTCGTTAGCCGCTTGGGCGATCGGTCACGTCTCTCATTACTTTTCCTTTTCATTTATCTTCTTCACCAAAAAATCGGCTCGCTAACCGCCCGGGCGATCGGTCACGTCTCTGTTACGCACTGTTGGCAAGTACTGGGCATGCGCCGGCTCCTGAATGTACCTGAACCCGCTCCAGTGTTGGTCAAGTCTTGTTTTGAAAGAGCTCTCACAGGGTGCCGTCAGAACACTCTCTGGTAGATTGTTCCAAGAGTTTACAACCCTCACTCCGAAAAAGTTTGCCCTCACAGTTTTCTAAACTTGCGGCTTCTTGAATCTTGAGCTGTGACCCCTTGTGGGGCGAGCGTCCGCCAGCTCCAAGTAAGGACACTCGACTAAGTAGTGTCCCCTGAGATGCTTATACACCTCAACTAGGTCCCCCTTTCCCGTCTGTAGTATAAGCTAGGCAAGTTTAGGCGCTCCAATCTCTCAGGGTAGCTGAGGTGTCGAAGTGCAGGCACCAGTCTGGTGGCCCTCTTTTGAACATTTTCAACCAACTGACAGTCCCAAGCATATCTCGGGGACCAGATGGGGTGACAGTACTCCAGATGGGGAAGCACTTCACTCTTGAAGATCGTAACGAGGGACGGATCGTCTAGATATCTGAACGACCTTTTTATAAGACACAATAATTTATTTGCCTGATTTATTTCTTCTCGCCATGGCCCGAGAACTTCAGCTCATTTTCAACAAACACACCTAGGTCCTTCTCACATTCAGTCTCAAATAGTGCAGTTTCTTCATCCCGTTGGGACATATGATACGCCTCCTTACCATTGTTATGCCCCAGGTGAATCCTCTTACACTTCGTGACATTGAATCTCAGCAGCCATGTCTTCGACCATTCTTGGAGCCCACAGAGGTCCTTCTGCAGCTCTTCACAGTCCGCTTGGTTCTTGATTTTCCGAAATAACTTGGCGTCATCGGCAAACATTTGTATGGAGGAGTGTACAACGTCAGGCATGTCATTTGTGAAACAAACAAACAACAGCGGGCCCAATACACAGCCCTGTGGTACCCCGCTTGTGACAGGTACGGATGATGATTTCGTGCCATTAATCACCGCACACTGCTTGCGGTCATGTAGAAAGTTTTCTATCCACGCGAGGACATTTCCCCGAATTCCGTACCCTTCCAGTTTGATTTTCAGCCTTTCGTGGGGTACACTGTCGAAAGCCTTGGCAAAATCTAAGTAAATATTATCGATAATTCCACCCCGTTCCAGAATATGAGTCCAAATATCCAATACCTTGAGCAATTGTGTTAAGCAGGAGTTCCCCGGCATAAAACCGTATTGGCAATCCTTTACAAGGTTGTTTCGTAGCAGATGTTCCATTGCGGCATCTCTGATAATACTCTCAAGCACTTTACATAATATGCCGGTCAGGCTCACCGGTCTACAGTATAATTGTTCGTGGAGTGACGATCGCCCTTCTTGAAGATAGGACTTACATAAGCCACTTTTCATTCATTGGGGACCTTTTGTTCATCCAGGCATTTGCAAAATAGGATCTTCAGGGGCTCGGTAAGTTCGTTGCACAACTCTCTTAGCTCTCTAGGATGCACCATGTCAGGGCCGGACTCTTATGGACCTTTAGCCAGGACAGTTTATTTCTAATACTCTCTTCTGTGAACACAATGTGGGTCAGTGTGTAACGACCACGGTCGTACACGTCAGTTAACGCCAAAATCAAATGATTCATATTACGCTCAATAGCCCACAAAACATGTACCTCTGCTTTTATTTTGAGTCCTCCATCTGAGGAGTTCGTTTTCTCGTCACTTCAAGACGCCTCAGTCCTCCGTTATCCCATTTTCTCTGACTTACTGAAACTAACCTCTCTATATAATGTATTTGAATGTGAGAGAGAACACCTTTGTTTTGAGTCAACTTAGATATGTCTGTTTACAGTTGGAACATTCAAGATCCATTGTGAGAGGTGTTGAACGCTTCAACTGTCCTTATTGTTAGTAAGACGTGTCAAGTAAGCGAGTGTTGAGTTTGCCAGTTAGAGTGGCGTATTTTAGGTCGTCCGTGGGGATACCCATGGGTTTCTGATCGCTACTGAAGTTATATTGTTTTGTTGCCCCGACATCAGAGAATCTGATGTTCTTAGTTTAGTTAGTGTCAGTTGTCTATTTAAGAAAGTCATTCATCTTCTGAACAGTTCCTGTCAAACTCAAAATTCTCCCAGATTTAACGGCCGTTTGACCGGGGATGTGGTTTGCGGTCAGGCCAATAGAGTTGCGAACGCATATATAACTTCAATTCAATTCTTTACTGACAAACTCAACCTCTGATTAAATCATAAATATAGATGTAGAAAATTAGCCTGATCTGTGACACTGACGGTCACAGCTAGGTGTCCAACGACTACGGTGAATAGAGGGTCTATTGTTAGTGAAATTTATCTTTCTAGTAGGAATATGCCCTCAGGCCCGTATATATGCAGGCGCGCGAGGGGAAATCACTCCTTCTGTGATTTCTTCTCCACGTCTCCAGGTATGTTCACGTGTGTTCCACGCCGCCATGTTAACTCAGTTTAACTTAGTAATTTTTTGTGAATATCAGTGTTCATGTTTTAACATAGTACCTTCAGTGCCAAGTGAGTCAAGTAAAGTAGAGATCTAGCTATCGTCTGAACCGGTGCCAGACGTATGTTTTGTATAGTGAAGTTAAATATTCATTCCTGTGATTTCTTCTCCACGTCTCCAGACGTGGATGTGTTAGCAACTCTCCTGAGGGTCGATAGCTACCTATGGGCAAGATGGTTCTTGAAGAATGTCTCTAAGGGCGCATCTAGAATCCCAGGACACGATCCCCCGGGAAGCGCCCTCACCACTCTGCCAGTGTGTAATGAGTCAACATCCCTGGGTACACCTAGTGAGCGAGCCTTCAGCTTGGCGGTCGCTGTAAACAACTCGTGGTGTGCGGCGGCTTAAGAATATGCACGTGTGATTTACCAGTTTCTGTTGTAGGGGTTTGGTGCTAATTGTGGGGAGGGTGCTTTACGATTTGCAAAAGGTATAGTTCAAGGCAGGATGGCTGAGGCTCGGGGTAGTCAGGAACCAGGTACCAGTGAACCTCCCATAGGACCCAACCAAGTATTGCAAACCTTTCAGGCCCTACTAGAACAAGTCATGTCAGGCCTGTCAACCCCCACAGTCAGTGAGAATAATTCCCACCTCCCGAGTCTTGGTCCGCCCTTATCTACCCTTTCCTCTGAAAACCCATCGCCAGGGCGGGACGTGGACCCCTTTGTAGATGATATCTTTGCTGGCGGCCGATCTGCTAGCCACCCTAGGGTCCACGGTGTTTCATCCCCTAGATCTAAATATCATAGGGGCTCGCCTTTGTTGGGTCCTAAAGATGTTCCGCGGTTGACCTTAGACGAGTTAGTAGGGTTGGAAGCTCAAGAAACTATAACCGAGTTTTGTCGTCGAGTAGAGCATGTGGCCGAAGATCCTCAAGATAGATGGGAGGTAGCTACTAGTAGAATGGATAAGCGGGTTTCCACCATGGTCAAAACCGAGGTTGGTCAATTAGATGAAGTGGGTTGGGATAGTGTAAAACGGGCTCTAAGAAACTTGTTTGTGAGTCGCATAACATTTGAGGATGCCTGGTCGGAGTTCACCCAGCTGAAATATGATTTGGACGATAATCCCCGCTGGTTTTTGGGAGAACTCAAGGCCAAGTTTGCCGCCCTGGAAGGTCGGTTTGGGAGACTGCCAG